TTTCGACGTCATTATCATCATTATCACCATCACTATCATGAGTCAAAGCCTCCTCATTGGCAGCTTCCAACTTTGAGTTTAAGATTTTCTAAATAACGTACTATATAGTTATGAAAGCAAAACATTAATCACACTGATTACATAATAGAATTTCTTTTACGTACTGGATATAAAGTGAAGTAGCCCAGTAAGACTGCTCTGGAGAAACTTTTATAATGGCACTGAAATTTCACGTACAGTAGGTCATCATCTGGGTCATCCGGAATGAGATCTTGGGATCTCTGTTCTGAGAGATTCAGAAAAATTTCATCAGTCGTGTCTAGAAAAAAAAGTATTTTTTTTTTATTTGTTCGATCCTAGTATCCTCAGAGACATGACGCTTTTAGATCTGCTGAACTTCTCCATTGGAGAATTTTTTATTCATTTAAATCATATTTTTGTTGGAACATTATGAAACCATGTATTCATTTCAATGAAAATATTTCAATTGTATGACAGGAATAATTAATTTTAAATGAATCATCGATTAGAATCAAATAATTCATTCATTTATCTAAATGTAGAATTATTTCACATTAATTAATTAATTCTCTTTGCCCTCCAATCAGTGATGTCATGATCGACTAAAAAAGTATTTATTTTGATTAAGTAAACGTCTTTTTTTAAATCTAAATATGGTAGTGAATCGTTATAATTTACTATAACTTACCGTGGAAAAGAGCCGTCAGCTTTCGAAATTCTTCATTTTTATCGAAAAAATATTCTAGATACAGCCGAGATATTTCGAATCACCAGAATATTTTCAAGCATCGGTTTACCGAACGATAAAGCGCGGTGTTTGGTAAGGTAGGTTAGTATCCAACTCGCGCTGGTTTGGGTACGGTCAGCCGAAACTGTATTTGTCGAAGTATGGTATGTCTCCGAGTTGGAAAGTTACGGATCATGCAAAATAGGGGGTCGGTATGACTCCGACCCCGTATTACATGGAGTATGACTTATTCGATACAGTTAACCTTCAGAAAGTATTTTTCCCAGAACTACAAAAATACGGGAATCGATTATCATGGACCCATAAAAATGAGGATAAGATTTATGTAGGATTAAGTGTTATACCATTTCATGAATTTTCATATCGTGAATTATTCAGATGTTCATAAGTGTGGTTCATAATATTAACGGGATCATTAATAATCCAAACCCATGTTAAGGGGCGTAAATATTTTCTGGAACCTTTGAATTACCAAATAATCATTTTTCTAATAGGTGATTTATCAAATATGCGTTTATCTATTATCTGATGAGTCAGCGTAAGAATTTATAGAGAACCTTTTTATTCTAAATAATAATTATTCGCAGCATGAAAAACCAAGAGTGCACTTTCATGTGATATTACATTAGACCGAAACAGTTATTGTTCAATCTTTAATCTTTCCAAATGGGAAATGAACAGATCATGAATTATTACAAGTTTTTCCCTGCTGATAATGCAGATTTCCGTGGCACATTTCCAACGATACATTATCTACAATGAGGGGCCTTACGGGTTGTGTATTGCAGTCAGTACATAAACAGTTTCCCAAGTGAGTTCGTTCCAAAAATCAGAGATGGCAGCATCAAACTATCTACTTGATGTAATGCGAAGGGTTGACTTTTTTTTCCATTATTAGTTGTCAAAATTGTTTTTTTTTTAAATATAAAATCACTACTTTGAGTAGCTCTATCCTCATGGCGGAAAAGTCACCGTTTCTCAATACTTTCTGTTTTCTGATTTTCTGAACAAATCGCATGTGAAAAATTAATAGTATTTTACGTAAGGCAGTGGTAAGGGTTGTTTTGAGCGGGTGTGAGATTTGAAGCCCGCACCAAAAAAGGCGAACCGAAAGGCGAGGGTTGTAATCACACTCGTCATAAAAAGTCATTCACTTCAAGTTACGTGTTAATTACAAAGCTCCCATTCGGAAGCAAAAGANTACGGATCATGCAAAATAGGGGGTCGGTATGACTCCGACCCCGTATTACATGGAGTATGACTTATTCGATACAGTTAACCTTCAGAAAGTATTTTTCCCAGAACTACAAAAATACGGGAATCGATTATCATGGACCCATAAAAATGAGGATAAGATTTATGTAGGATTAAGTGTTATACCATTTCATGAATTTTCATATCGTGAATTATTCAGATGTTCATAAGTGTGGTTCATAATATTAACGGGATCATTAATAATCCAAACCCATGTTAAGGGGCGTAAATATTTTCTGGAACCTTTGAATTACCAAATAATCATTTTTCTAATAGGTGATTTATCAAATATGCGTTTATCTATTATCTGATGAGTCAGCGTAAGAATTTATAGAGAACCTTTTTATTCTAAATAATAATTATTCGCACCATGAAAAACCAAGAGTGCACTTTCATGTGATATTACATTAGACCGAAACAGTTATTGTTCAATCTTCAATCTTTCCAAATGGGAAATGAACAATCATGAAAATTATTACAAGTTTTTCCCTGCTGATAATGCAGATTTCCGTGGCACATTTCCAACGATACATTATCTACAATGAGGGGCCTTACGGGTTGTGTATTGCAGTCAGTACATAAACAGTTTCCCAAGTGAGTTCGTTCCAAAAATCAGAGATGGCAGCATCAAACTATCTACTTGATGTAATGCGAAGGGTTGACTTTTTTTTCCATTATTAGTTGTCAAAATTGTTTTTTTTTTTAATATAAAATCACTACTTTGCGTAGCTCTATCCTCATGGCGGAAAAGTCGCCGTTTCTCAATACTTTCTGTTTTCTGATTTTCTGAACAAATCGCATGTGAAAAATTAATAGTATTTTACGTAAGGCAGTGGTAAGGGTTGTTTTGAGCGGGTGTGAGATTTGAAGCCCGAACCAAAAAAGGCGAACCGAAAGGCGAGGGTTGTAATCACACTCGTCATAAAAAGTCACTCACTTCAAGTTACGTGTTAATTACAAAGCTCCCATTCGGAAGCAAAAGAAATTCAATCACATCAAACGCCATAAAGACAACCGCATAAAAAAATATGAGTATACATAAATATACGCATATTCTGATTTATTAGGCTGTATTCAATTGCCCCAATTAAAAAAAAACAAACTTGAATTTTCACTCTTAAAATGCTTCCATTTGGAAGAAAAAATATTTATTTTCACATAAGACAATGTGGTCAATTGCAATTTATAATCCATTTCCCTTGGGAAATTTTGTCTTTAGCTGTATATATAACTGAAAAGTAAGACGTATGAGTTTGGTTAATGAGTGTAACGACGTGTTTTTATTCAAATATTCATTAAATGTGACTTATGATATTGATTCCTTACTCATCGTTATGCCACTTTTTAGTGTTCTATCCAATCTACATAANGAGGCATTCTCCTGACACTCAAGCCACGCCGCAAAGATAATACTTCAGTTGAAGTAATCAGTTGAAGTTGGAGCAAATCTTCTAGAAAAAAACATTAATGTGATTAATAGGTAACGGTTCCTGGAATAATTGATTCGTCAAGGTACTAATATGTCTCCGTAGACATTGATAGAAAATAAATTTACACCAAACCACACCAAAACTTCCTGTACCAATGTAGACGTACCAATATGAAGTTGCAAGCTTCGTCACATTCTAAATAATTATACAATGTTGATACATTCACTCAACTCTTCGCGTGCGATATCAATGTATTATTATGCTCTTCTAACACAATGCACAATAATCTTCCATCTTAACGGTAAAGCTTACGGTAGTTACTTTAAATGTCAGTCGGTGAGGTTGCGAATAATGGACTCTGGTATTTTACACAATTGAAAGGGAGGAGGGTCGCACGCAGTAACATAAGACCTTTTTGAAAGGGAGATATAGGGGGCGTATGTAGAATTACATTCTTTAAGAACACCAACAAACCTGTAAATTTCCATATCATGGGATGTACATTCATTCTAATGTGCAAAATCCTGTGGTATGCTTCGATATTATTATTTGTTCGTCTTTCATATCCAAAGACTGAATAGTTAGCCGGTTTGACAGTATTTATCCACCACTTTTGGTAATAGGCAAGAAATGGAGAAAAAAACAAACGAATATCGGTGTCAGTATTTGCAATAAGGTTAGTGAAAGCTTGTTCTATTTCTGCTGCTGGCAGCAGTGCCAATCCCATTATTCTTCTCAAGAAGAGTAACCCTCGAGGCCAGTTACATAGGTCTTTATATCCTTTTTTTCCACGTAATTTCATTAATTTTTTCGTTAACCTCTGAAAAAGAAAATGGCGTAGTCACTTTCCGTTGGACGATAAAATGAAGATTGGATCAGGCTTCATTCAGGATTGATCATGGTCGATTGAACTTCGATTATCAAAACAAAATCAAGCTTGCATGGAGTTTGAACAATGATTAAGTCCCTAAGGCCTCGTAACCTCCAGCCTCGACCGACGCTTTGCTGGCAAGCTTCCACCAACCTTTTAAATTGTCGACTCATTCTCCAATAATTGATCAATCATCAATAACACCATCAATTNCTATTGAATTTGCTATACGTTTTTTGCCGTTTCTTTTGACGTGTTCAAGAGGAAATTCTATAGAAAAAGTTTATAGAATTTCGTTGTTTATAGAATATTTTCGGCAAATTTTCGAAGTTTTTTCATTCGATATTTTTGAAGAGAAGAAAATAAAAATGACTAAAAAAAAACTTTGATAATTTTTTTTTCCTTCCATGATTAGTGCCTGAAAAATTTTATAAAAAAATGGAATTCTATTGACTTTTTTTTCGATTAACACTTTTCTATAATATATCCTATCGAACATGTCAATAGAGACGGGAAAAAACGTATAGAAAATCCAATAGAAGTTGTACAGAAATTCCTACCGAATTCTTTAGGGTTTTCTATTAAAATTTTTCGTACGTGTATAACCTCAAAACAAAAACTATCATTTCATTTCCGTGCATTTAATCACGCGTTTGTGCTTCTAAAATAAATAAAAAACTTACCAACAAGCAGGTCATCGTCATCAACAGCTATTATATGGTCGATGATTGTTATTTGCGGAATGCGAAACAAATTAACTAAAAATAAAAATAATGAGCAGTGATTTCCACGGTTAGAAAGTGTGAGCAGACAACTACTATTGAAGATAACGATAATTTACAAAATCCCTACTACCAATGTCATTAAAACAGAGATCGTTGACGAAAATTCGAAGATCTTGAGGATCCGAAATTAAAAATTGGTTCCCACCTGCAGCTATAAAATGACTTGCCGCAGTTAGTAATTGATCAACAGTCAAATGATTTGTCGTATATAAAAACCAGACTCTTTTTATAATTTCTCCTTTCACAACAATTTTCCTCTGAAGCATTCTCCTGACACTCAAGCCACGCCGCAAAGATAATACTTCAGTTGAAGTAATCAGTTGAAGTTGGAGCAAATCTTCTAGAAAAAAACATTAATGTGATTAATAGGTAACGGTTCCTGGAATAATTGATTCGTCAAGGTACTAATATGTCTCCGTAGACATTGATAGAAAATAAATTTACACCAAACCACACCAAAACTTCCTGTACCAATGTAGACGTACCAATATGAAGTTGCAAGTTTCGTCACATTCTAAATAATTATACAATGTTGAAACATTCACTCAACTCTTCGCGTGCGATATCAATGTATTATTATGCTCTTCTAATACAATGCACAATAATCTTCCATCTTAACGGTAAAGCTTACGGTAGTTACTTTAAATGTCAGTCGGTGAGGTTGCGAATAATGGACTCTGGTATTTTACACAATTGAAAGGGAGGAGGGTCGCACGCAGTAACATAAGACCTTTTTGAAAGGGAGATATAGGGGGCGTATGTAGAATTACATTCTTTAAGAACACCAACAAACCTGTAAATTTCCATATCATGGGATGTACATTCATTCTAATGTGCAAAATCCTGTGGTATGCTTCGATATTATTATTTGTTCGTCTTTCATATCCAAAGACTGAATAGTTAGCCGGTTTGACAGTATTTATCCACCACTTTTGGTAATAGGCAAGAAATGGAGAAAAAAACAAACGAATATCGGTGTCAGTATTTGCAATAAGGTTAGTGAAAGCTTGTTCTATTTCTGCTGCTGGCAGCAGTGCCAATCCCATTATTCTTCTCAAGAAGAGTAACCCTCGAGGCCAGTTACATAGGTCTTTATATCCTTTTTTTCCACGTAATTTCATTAATTTTTTCGTTAACCTCTGAAAAAGAAAATGGCGTAGTCACTTTCCGTTGGACGATAAAATGAAGATTGGATCAGGCTTCATTCAGGATTGATCATGGTCGATTGAACTTCGATTATCAAAACAAAATCAAGCTTGCATGGAGTTTGAACAATGATTAAGTCCCTAAGGCCTCGTAACCTCCAGCCTCGACCGACGCTTTGCTGGCAAGCTTCCACCAACCTTTTAAATTGTCGACTCATTCTCCAATAATTGATCAATCATCAATAACACCATCAATTGTTGGAGCTAGATATAACTGAGATCGTGAAACTACCTGATTCATCAATTTAATAAGTATAACGTACGAAAAATTTTAATAGACAACTCTAAAGAATATGAATTATATGAACTATATGAATTTCTATAGAACTTCTATTGGATTTTCTATAATTTTTTTGTCGTGTCTATTGATATGTTCGATAGGGAATTCTACAGAAAAATGTCAATCGAGAAAAAAAATCAATAGAATTTCATTTTTCTAGGGAATTTGGTCGACTCAATTTTTTTTTTTTCATTTTCTTCTCTTCAAAAAAATCGAATGAAAAAAAAATTGAAAATTTGAGCCGAAAAAATTCCATAGACAACGAAATTCTATAAACTTTTTCTAAAGAATTTCCTATCGTACACGTCAAAAGAAACAGCAAAAACTTAAAGAAAATTCAATCTGAGTCTTACAGAAATTCTAAAGAAATACCTATAGAATTCTTTCGGGTTTTCTATTAAAAATTTTCGCACATGATTTGAAAGAAAAAAAAACCGCCATTCCCTATTTGGCCTAGCGATCGTCCATTACATTACTATACAGGATGACTGCTATTTTCGGAAAATTCCGTCATGGAATGCTTCTTTGACTTTTACCCATCCTAAATTGAAAAAGTGTTCCGATTTATATTTATTCCTCTACGAAAATTTTTAATAGAAAACCGGAAAGAATTCCATCGGATTTTCTGTATAACTTCTATTTTATTTTCTATACGTTTTTTCCTGTTCCTATTGACATTTCCACTAGAAAATAATATATAGAAAATTGTTATAAGAAAAAAAATGCAATAGAATTTCATTTTTATATAGAATTTTTTCAACTCAAATTTTCGTTTTTATTTCAGTCATATTTGATTTTCTTCTCTTCAAAATAAATGAATGAAAAAACTTTGAAAATTGAGGCTGAAAAAATACTATAGACAACAAAATTCCCTGAATTTTTTGTACATAATTTCTTGTCGAGCATGTCAAAAAAAAACGACAAAAAACGTATAGAACATTCAATAGAAGTCTTATAGAAAGTCTAAAGAAATACAAATAGAATTCTTTAGGGTTTTCTCTTCAAAATTTTCGAACGTGTTGTTTTTGTGAGAAAAGCAGATAATTATTTTTAAAGACTAAGAAAAAAACACATTATGAGGCATTTCAAATGACTTATTCATTGGCAAAACCAATAGTAACACCAATCAGTTAGAAAAAACAGAATGTGAAAAAAGGGCACCAAGGATGGTAACAACATTGACAAGTATTAATACTCCGAAAAAAAAAAATACCTGTAGGTGATGGAAATAGCATCGGATTATTATCGAATTTGGATACACCATCATTATTGCGGTACTTAAAGACCGTTCAAAATCAATGGAAAAGGTTCTTGGTATCAAATTCCTTGCCAGATTATCTTTAAAATATTGTAAAACGCTAATATATGCCGCTGTCGATTTCTTCTCCATGAGTGCCCAGGTTATAGGAATGCACTGAAAAAATTTAGAACATTATGAGTGTATATAGAAATGCACTTTGCGGAAACAATAACATAGCAAATAGAACAATTTATTACAAATGGGTCTTGATTCTAACACGAAAGATGTGAAATAAAATATTGAGTGCCACTCCCTAACAAATTGTTACCCAAAAAGTAATATGTGGAAATGAACGTTATATATGATGAAATGAACACTCCAATAAGAACGCATCACTATTACGATAACTAATCGAAAACACAGTTACACGTACACCAACTGACTCTTACCCTGGCAGTGATTAGTCAAACTTTGTCATCATGGAATTAAAATAGTTGTACTTTTCTTGTAAACTGAGCAATATTGAGAACTGCAGAATATTTTGCAGGAAAATTATTAAACTTTCGAATAGTCATTATTTCTTTCATTTAAAAATCATTTTGGTTAAAAAAAAGTGGGAAGGGAACAGCGAGCATTTCATCGGTACGACATGATTATAGACATGTGTCTGAGTACTCTTTTTTTGTTTCATGAATAAATTGATGGTGAGTTTCCCAAAATTTTTTTTTCCTCTTTCCGTCTATCATTGGATTCAACCCATCTTCAATCTCATCCATTCTTGTGTTAAGGTAGAGACTTGAGGGAAATTTGAGGTTCATATGTTTGTTAGAGTAACTGTTATCGTCCGAATAAGGATTTTGTCGGATAAAACGAAAAATCGGAATATGTATGGATTTTTGTATCAATGTGTAAATATGTGTTTGCTGATCTACATCAGTGACATTGACTCGGATATTTTAAAAAGTAAAAAATTGAAATATAAATTTCCATTCATCGTGGTTAAAAGGTGCAGACATGCGAAAATTTTTAATTTTTTCGGTGCAATTACGAAATAGTGGGTGAACAATTATTTGCTGCAAAATATTAAAAAAATCGAATGATATTTCTGAAATCGTCTATGATTAATTATGTTTTGCTTGATCAAGGAATGTGGCCTCGGGATGACGATTTGTGAATTATGCAAATTGAAATTGTATAGATAGATCTCGAGAATATGGCGTAAAGAAATTTTGAAAGAATGCGGAACTTCTCGAAAACGGTTCAACCTATTCAGCTAAACGAGTGGCCTTAGTTATTCTATATGCATAAGTATATGTATAATGTCACAAAACTGCTTTTTTATAAACCGTCTATTCGTTCAATTTCGTAAATGTTGACTGTAAAGTTAACCAAGAACCCTACTCACACAGGCAGCCATAATGAAACTAGGTATAGACCATTCTACAATATTTACAGACAAAATGAAAAAATCAAAAGAACAACGGATTACTTTGCTTCCTGTTCGGAAGTAAAAAAAAATCATGACACGGACCGTTAGGTAAGAATTAATTTGGGTATTGGATTTCCATATCTTTTTCTATTTTCAATTTTGGTAAGGACCAAAAAAAAATTGACACATTTCATGACAACATTATGCACCGTCTTCTAAACAACTTCTACAATTTGTTTGTACCTCTTCAAGGACAGGGCTTTTGTGCGATAATTTGTACATGTGATCGAGTGATGTCTATTTACCTTTATGATTATTTTTGGCTGATGAACAAATTTTCAATATTTCCCAAGATAAGGATCTTTTTCATCACGTGGTGATGGTCGTTTTATGTATATGGATCCGAGATCTGAGGGGTTAAACTCTCCCTTGTACGCCAGATCTTACGAACCGTTCTCATCGGATGGTGGCCTCCCGCTAGCGATTTAATTGGTCAATTTTTTACATCGTGAATAAATATAGAAATTCAAAAAAGAATTTCTTGAATTGGCTTGATAATTTTATGCATTTCATGTTGGATTTTTTGGAATTCTCATATGTACTATAGTATAGTATAACAGATCATCATTTTTAATTAATCACGGATTGGGTTCATATGTCACATCGGTCAGTAGGTCACGCTCGGGGTTCCATATGTGGCATGGACACCATATACTTGAAACGTTCAAAAAGGAAATACTTCAATTTTTTTTTTCAGAAATTCAATTGTTATAGGGCTAATTATATTATTGATTATTGATTTTTTATATTAATTTTTAATGATAATTTTTCTTCATAATTTTTCATTGTGTATGAAGGACATTAACCGGATCTTTCCCCATTAGTGTAATAAACAACAAAATTACCTCTCCGTTGACTCGTGCCATGATAGTGAGAAACTGTCGAATTTTTAAACGCCTTGGACATATTTTAAAAGTAGCATCCACATAAAATTCGTCAGCTCGTAAAGAATTCACGAAAGTTGAGTCACCAAATACAACAGATTTCGACCCATCAGCAGCTATGATGCAATTCACGGTCCAAGTCGATCCATTATATTGTGTATATTTCCTCTTCCAGCTGTCGCTATTCAATAAATTCGCATAAGCCAATAAGCAAGATGGCTGAGGTGGACGTGACTTTTTCCGCCACTCTTTCATTTTATGCTCTACCTCCGCGAAGGGTACTACAGCATTACCTTGTGGACAGCTAAAAATAATGTTCAATCAAAGTTAGTATGAAGAGATTTTTTAATAATTAAAAAAAAAGAAATACTACACCCATACACTTTTGTTGAAATACAATTTTTTGTAGGAACAAATATGCTATCTACTTCAAACCATTCTAAATAAGTTAATGTTTTCATTTCATGTTAATTCTTGTAACTCCTTAAAAAAAACACCTAATAAAGCACTGTTTGGTTTTTAAAAAATTGAATAACATTACTTGGTTTTTACGATCAATCATCATCAATAGGGCAACAATTTCAGAAGATAATCTAAGATTCGGACATAGAAAATGGTTGAGGGAGTAAGCATTAATGGCTCCAATGGAGTCAAAATAAAATTGAAAAAATACTCGTTTTTAGAAAACCTTATCTTTTTTTTGTGATGCCGTATAGTAGTGTTATTGTAAATGGACGACAGAAGTACCTTACAGCGACTGCATCATAAATTCTCCTTATATCGTCGTGACTTGCAGCTACTTTCCTTTTTAATTCATTTTCAAAATTGTACACCATGTGCTTTTCCTTATTTATTGAACACCTATGTCCTTTTC